TCAGGCCTCCTCTCAGCCTGGCCTTTGTCTGCTCACAGCAGCCAGGCCAGATGTGCAGAGCCTGGAGGAAGCTGGCTGCCCCAAGCTGATGGTGGTCTCTGCTTGGCCTGACAGACCTTGTCCTTCTGGCTGCTAGGTTTCCCACACACACACAGCCTGACCTGCAGAGGTCTTAGTGTGGAGCTGTGGGTTCCTCCAGGATCCCCTGGATGGGATGGAGTCAGTTTCCGGGAGGCATTTCCTCCTCCAGCGCCTGCCTCCTCCCCTAGGCTGATGGCCTCCTTCCAGCCTGCTAGAGGAGGGGTAGAGGGGAATGGCCAAGCCTAAGTATACACACACACACAGTTACGCATACTTACACATTCATGATGGTGTAGATCCCTCTGTGATCCTGTACCCACTACAGTCCCTTCCCAACCAGGCATGAAACGCCTATCAATTGGAATCCCCTGACTGTATCCTTAGACAGGCCTCATCTTCTTCCCCTGACCCCATCCTTGGACAGGCCTCATATAATTCCCCAGACCCTCAGACTGTGCTTTCCTCCTGGGGTTTGGGAGCTCCATTACTCTGCGCTCCCACCAGTAGCTCCCGCCTGTGGGCAGGTGACTCTTCTCCCACTCACCCAGCCCTGGCAGGGTCCTTTTTCCCTGCCTCCCTCCCACAAAACAAACCTGAGCCTGAAGCACTAGGGAGTCTGTGCAGTTATTGGGAGGAGGGGCCCAGGACCAGAGGACTGTGGTGGTGCGATTGGAAGAGGGATAGGAAGAATCTCCCAGGTACCACACTCAGGTTCCGGCTCAGGCAGTACCAGAACAGGGAAGAGGGCAGAAGTTAGGAGGCTGGTCCCCTGCCTCACTTGCATTGAGGCCACTGGCACCTCCAGTGGAGGCAGGACACTTAAGACAGGAGGGGTCATGATTGAAGACCCCCAACTGGATCTTTTAAAAAAATTACTGTAAGATTTACTTATTTGTTATGTGTACATGTGTGCCTACATGAGTTGGTGTACACCATGTGCATACAGGTGCCTGTAGAGGCCAGAAGAGGTGTTAGATCTGCTGGAGCTAAGTTAAAGGTGGTTGTGAGCTGTCTGACTTAGGTGCTGGGAATTAAACTCGGGTTTTCTGCAAGTGCAGTAAGCACTCTTAACCTCTGAGCCATCCCTTCAGACCCCTGGAGGAGTGTTGATTCCAGATTTGGTCAAGGCTCCAAGGAAGGAAAAAGGGAAGAAGGGCTTTGAAGGGGCAAGTGATGTTACTCTAGGAACAGAGGAAGGATGAAGGTCATGAAGATGTTCACCAGGCTCAAGGAGGTGGTCCAAAGGCTCAGCAAACTCCAAAAACGCAGCTCAAGAGGGCTGGGGATATAGCTCAGCTGGTAAAGTGCTTACCTAGCATGCAGAAGACTGAGAGGTTCATTCCCCAGCACTGTATAAACTGGCTGTGGTGACATACATTTGTCATCCTATCACTTGGAAGGTGGAGGCAGTAGGATCAGAACTTCAAGGCCATCCTCAGCTCTGGAGAAAGTTTGAGGTGAACCTGAGCTACATGAGATCCTGTCTCAAAAAACAAACAACAAAAACTCAGCTCATTGGGCATGGTGGTATACACCTTTAATACCAGAACTTGAAATACAAACACAGATAGATCTCTGGGAGATCAAGGTCAGCCTGGTCTACATAAGGAGTTCCAGGCTAGCCAGAGCTGCATTGGAAAACCCTGTCTAAACAACCACAAAACACCTCAGCTCAGGACAGATCAGTTAGTTCCTCCTCTTTGTCCCCTATCCAGCTGGCGCTATGCAGAAGATGCAACCAAAGCCCCTGCCCAGTGCCAGCTGATAAAAGAATCCATACGCAAGGGCTCAAGACTGTGCCACCCCAGTGAAGGCCTTGAAAATGGGGGGTGGGGGGATGAGGGAAGGGAGGAGCCAACCAATCAAGGGTAGAGAGACATTAGGCTTGCTGAACAGAGGTGCAGAGTCTCAAAATGTCTGTGAGAGAGCTGCCTGTCACAGGAGGGATCCAAGCTGAAGCAGAGAATGTGGCTTTCTCTGCTCACATCTTGGAGAAATTCCGGCTCCCCTCTCTCCTGCCAAACTGCCCTGTTTGGGGATCGACTCTCAGACTTGGCTGGAATGCAAAGAAAACAAGACAGTGTGTGATTAAGGGGGGCCATTGGGGTTTGCACTGAGGAGGAGGTGGAGGGTGGAGACCAGAGGGCAGGGAGGGGGCTTGGCACAGAGTGGTTAGCCCAAAGTGGTGTGTGCAGCAGACTGGCCTGGGGCAGATGCCTGTTTCAAACAGGCCTGCCAGAGAGGCAGTGCAAGCTCAGAGTGGAAAGGAGGGATGACTTGAGAGGAGAAGCCGGATAAAGAGCAAAGCTAGCGGTCTGGCAAGATGGTTCAGCAAATAAAGGAGCTTGCCGCCAAGCCTGATGACCTGAGTTCAGTCCCTGGAAGGAGAGAATGTGGTCCTGCAAGTTGTTCTTTGACCTCCGCTCGTAAAATAAATAATTTAAAATTTTTCAGAAAGCAAGGCGAGAAGCCAGGCATGGTGGCGCACGCCTTTAATCCCAGCACTTGGGAGGCAGAGGCAGGCGGAGCTCTGGGAGTTTGAGGCCAACCTGGTCTACATAGTGGGTTCCAGGCCAGCTGAGGCTACAAGGAGATACTGTCTTAAAAAGACCAGGAAAAAAAAAAAAAAAAAAGTACGGGGGAGGCTAGAAATGGAGGGTGCAGGCAAAGCTTCTGGGAATGTGTTACAAAGGTTGGAGGTTAGCAGCCCCACTGCTGGGGTGAATGGTGCTACCTGTAGCCAGGGATCCCAAGACTGGTTCCAGGATGGTGGGTAGGTGGGTGGGTGGGTCAGGGACTTGGAGAAGGCCTGGAAGACCTCAATGCTTGTGTTGACTTTAATTCTGGGTTGAAAATTCACCCTGACCATCAACAGCCTTCAAGTAACCGTTTTTTGTTTAGTGGTGGGGGGTGTTGGTTGTTTTTAATTTTTTTTTTTATTACATTTATTTTGTATGTGTATGTATGCTGGCAGCCACTGTTCGGGGCTGGTTCTCTCCTTCCACCATGTGAGTCCCAGGTGTAAAACTGAAGGCGTCAGGCTTGACGACAAATATCTTTACCTGCTGAGCCATTTTACAGGAACTAAGGGGTTTGGTTTTGTTTTAAGATAGGGTTTCCTATAGCCCCAGCTGGCCTGGAACCCTTTATGTAGACCAGGCTGGCCTGGATCTCACAGAGATCCACCTGCCTTTGCCTCCCCAGTGCAGGGATTAAAGGTGTGCACCACCACACCCAGACCATATAAATGTTGCTTATATGACAAGGTATTACTGAAATAAGGGGTTGCGCATGTGCCAAGGGGGCCTGTGGAGGTCAGAGGACAACTTCGTGGATTGGCTCTCGCCTTCCACCTTTATATGGGATTTCTGGAGAAAACTCAAGTCCTGCCCTGCGGAACTCACAAACACTTTTACCCACTGGCCCCAGTTTTGGTTTTAGAGGCAGTGTCTCACACAGTCCAGACTGGCCTCAAATACAGTATGTAGCCAAAGATTTCCTTGAACTTTTGGCAGCAAGTGCCTTTACCTACTGAGCTACCCCACCTATCTAGGTTCCTTTCCTTTTTTTTGAGACAGAGTTTCATCATACATATAGCCTTGACTGGCCTAGAACTCCATATGTAAACCAAGCTAGCCTCAAACTCACAAACTCACAGAGATCTGCCTGCCTCTGCCTCTTATGTGCTGGGGTTAAAAACTGTGTCTCTGTCTCCCAAGTCCAAAAATGCCTTGCTTGGTCAAAGTGTTTTGTATTGTTTTGGTGTGCTGGGGCTCAAGCCCAAGGCCTTGTACATACTAGGCAAGTACTGAACTTCCCCTGCTGCTTTCTAGCACCCAGCCGTTCCTCAATGCATGGCAGTATACCTCTAGACACGCATGCGTGCGTGCGTACGTGTGTGTGTGTGTGTGTGTGTGTGTGTGTGTGTGCAGAAGTGCATGTACCATGGCATTCATGTGGAGGTCAGAGGACAGCTTTTGAGAGCCAATTCTTTTTCTACCATGGGATCCAGGGATCAAATGGCCAGACTTGGATAGCAAGTGCTTTTACCTGCTGAGCCATATCACAGTCTCCCACCCTGACTTTTGCTCTTAAAGTTCCCCTGCCTGATGGGCCCTCTGTACTCCCCATGCTTGGTTACTTCGCGTCTTTCGATTGGTCACTTCCTGGCATTCAGTTGGTTACTTCCTGCCATTTGAACGTCTGTGTCCCTGTGCACTGCTGATTTCTTTAGAGAACAGCTCATAGTCTGAGCCACTGTCCTTTCATGTGTCTGCCACTCCTATGATCCAAAGCCTCGGGAGAAAGGAAGGCCGCATCTCTGCTTTGTGCAGAGCCGTGAGATCACCTTCCCCACCAACCGCCAGGCCAGACCAGTCATTAGCTACTTTTTGGATCTGATTTCCACCCCATTCTGCCCATGTGCCTCTGGTCTTTGCAAAAAGGGACAAGGAGGGGACTTCTTATTTTGAAAACGAAGTGCTCGTTGCAGTTTCCTTTCCTGTTGCTGTGATAACAACCGACAGAAGCAACTCAAGGGCGAAAGGGTTTATTTTAGGTCGCATTTCGAGTACAGCCCATCATGGCAGAGAAATCAGGGAGGCAGGATCTTGGAGCTGCTGGACACACCACATCCACAATCAGAAATGAATGAGAGCCATGAGTGTGTGGACTGCTCAGCTCTTCCTTCTTAAAGAGAGAGAGCACACGCTTGTGTGTCACAGCACCCATGTGGAAGTCAGAGGACAATTTGCAGGAGTCAGTTCTCTCCTACCGTGTGGGTTTCAGGGATCAAACTAAGGTTGTTAGGCTTAGCAGCAAGTGTTTTTACCTTCTGAGCCATCTCACCTATCCAGGTTCCTTTCTCTCTCTCTCTCTCTCTCTCTCCTTTTTCTTGAGACAGGGTCTCACCATGTAGTCCTGACTGGCCTGGAACTCCATATGTACACCAGGCTGACCTCAAATTCACAGAGATTCTGCCTAAAGGCATGCAGCTCCATGCCAGGCCCCTAGCTCCCTTTCTTATATAGTCCAGGATCCCCTGCCAGGCAATGACCCTACCCACTTTTAGTTTAGGTCTTTCTGCTTCAGTTAACCCAGTTAAGATAATCCCCCACAGGGATGCTCAAAGGCCCATCTCCTAGGCGATTCTGGATTTTCAAGTTCACAGCACTAACCATCACAGCAGGAAAACTCTTGGGCCATAGCGGCACACAGTAGGTGGCTCACAGTTCTGGTCCTGGGCTTTGTTCTCCCTGAGTGTAGGGATGACAGGGAGGAGTTGGGGGGGGGGGGCGGCTTCTAATGAGTGAGAAAGAGTATTTGAGAATCTTCTGTTGAGGGAAGAGCTTTGGTCATCTGACGGGCAGGACTGCCATCAGTTTGGCATGGGGACTTGACACTGGCTATGCTAGACAGTAGGACTCCCTCCTTCCTTACTCCTCCCAGAAGAACTGCGATGCTGCCCAGGCTGTGAAAAGGGGAGGCAGCACTGTGGGGGCTGCCAGCAGCCGGGGCTGGAGAGAGACATGTGGACACGTAGCCCCTATGGCTCCTGCCTGCCAGATCCTCCGCTGGGCCCTCGCCCTGGGGCTGGGCCTCACGTTCAAGATCACACATGCCTTCAGATCTCAAGGTAGGAATGATCAGGGGTGGCAGGGGGAGGGAACAGATTGGTGAGAAAGCCAGTTGGGCCTCAAGATAAAGAGAGGTCAGTGGGCTAGGATGGGGGATTCATGGAAGGACCTGGGATCATGTAGCTTGAACAGCCGGGGATGCAGGGATAGGTGAGGCTCTTATCCCTGGCTCTGGCAGCTAGTACACAGGGGTCACCAAATCCAAGACACATCCCAGTCTTCTCATCCCTTTACCTACAGATGAGTTCCTATCCAGTTTGGAGAGCTATGAGATTGCCTTTCCCACACGTGTGGACCACAACGGGGCACTGCTGGCCTTCTCGCCACCTGCCCTCCAGAGGCAGCGTCGGGGCACAGGGACTGCAGCAGAGTCCCGCCTCTTCTACAAGGTGTCCGCACCCAGCACCCACTTCCTGCTGAATCTGACCCGCAGCCCCCGTCTACTGGCAGGGCACGTCTCCGTGGAGTACTGGACACGGGAGGGCCTGGCCTGGCAGAGGGCTGCCCGGGCCCACTGCCTCTACGCTGGCCACCTGCAAGGCCAGGCTGGCAGCTCCCATGTCGCCATCAGCACCTGTGGGGGCCTGGTGAGCTGAGGCTTCTGGGAGGCAAAGGGAAATGCTCACTTCCTTTTAAAAGTTAAATCGTAGGGAATTTTTACTGTTTTTTGTGCTAATCAATACTTTTGGGATGCAGCTAAAGAAGTCAGTAGAGGAAATACTTAGCCTTAAGGAAGGCTGAAGGAACATCTGTCTCAAGAAATTAGACAAGCTGGGCTTGGTGGTGCAATGCCTTTAATCCCAGCACTCAGGAGGCAGAGGCAGGCAGGTTTCTGTGAGTTGGCAGTTAGCCTGGTCTACATAGCAAGTTCCAGCCAGAGATACATAGTGAGACCCTGTCTCAAGAGAAAAAAGAAAGAAAGAAATTAGACAAATAGTGTAGGCTCCAAGCCTAAAGACCTGAGTTTGATCCCCAGAATGCACATAGTGGAAGGACAGAATCAATTCCACAAGTTGTCCTCTGACCTCACACCTACACATACACAGAAAAATAAACATAATGACTTTTTAAAAGAAATTAGACTGGCTTGGTAAAGTGTTTGCACGGGAGGATCTGAGTTCAGATCCCCAGCACCCATGTAAAACATCTTGGCTGTGTGCATCTGTAACAGCAATGCTAGGGACCGGGCAGAAACAGGCAGATTCTGAAGGATTCTTTGATCAGCAAACTTAATTGAAAAACAGTGAGCTCCAGATTCAGTGAGAGACCCTGTCTTAAGGAGGTAAGGCAGAGCGTGATGAAGGCAGACACCCAGTTTCCTCTGGCCTAAGTACAAGTGCCCAGACTTGTGCACACACAAACACAAAAGTGGAAGGGCTGTGAACCAGACGTGTAGTGCTGCATTCCTGCAATCTCCAGCACTTGGGAGGTGGAAGCAGTGTGATCAGAGGTTCTTGATCATCCTCCGCTATGTAATGAGTTGGAGGACAGCGTGGGCTACATGAGACCCTACCTCAAAAGAAAAAAAGCAGGGGCCTCATAGCTCTGGGGTAGACTGCTTGCCTAGCGTGTCCCAGGTCCTGGGTTTGATACCTAGCACTGGTGAATAAATAAATAAGTAAATAATAGAGGTGGATGGATGGATGGATGGATGGATGGATGGATGGATGGATGGATGGATCGAATGAGATCATGAAGACATGGAACCAGAACTTGGCCTGAGTTTTCTGCCTCACCTCCAGCATGGCCTGATTATGGCAGATGAGGGAGAGTACCTGATTGAGCCTCTGCAAAGTGGGCCCAAGGGTCGCCGTGGCCCAGAAGAGAGTGGCCCCCACGTGGTATACAAGCGTTCCTCTCTGCGTCATCCCCATCTAGACACAGCCTGTGGAGTGAGAGGTACTCCTGACTCCTGGGATGGCAAGGGGGTTACAGAACATTCCTCCTTTGAGGCGGAGATGGGCAGTGGGGTCTTTCCACCCGAGAAGGTCAACAGAAAGCTGTATCGTGAGAAAAGAAACTGTTGTGGGAAAGACGCTGATAGAGTCCAGGAGTTGATTGGTCTGCAGGCAGGAGGCAAGATGGATGTGTACGTTAAGATAGCGAGACTGTAAGGCAGTGTAGTGACCCATCATTGTGTGGTCAGCTGTCCAGCAACGAGTAAAACAGCCAGACAAGTGTTCAGGTATGCAACCATTCTTTACCTAGATTTATTGTCAAATCACACAGCCAAGCAGGAGAAGGTCCTGTCAGACACTCAGTGGTCATACAACTGAAACACCACCAGGAGCTCAGGAGGTAGCTCAGTGGTGAAAGAAGGCCACGCTGAGGAGATGGCTGAATGGGTAAAGCACTTGTCATGCAAGTGTGAGGACCAGAGTTCATGACCCCAGCACCCATGTAAATGCCAGGTGGGTATAGCAGGCCTCCTGAAGTCCCAAGAACTAGGGAAGGTGAGACGGGGAATCACTGGATCATGCTGGCTAGCTAGACCAGTGGATTTAGTGAGCTCTGGATTCAAGTGAGAGATACTGCCTCAGTGTATAAGGTAGAGTGTGATCAAGGACGACATCCAGCATCAGCCTCTGACCTCCACATTTGAGTGCACAACATGCACCCACACAGGTGCACACGGGCTGTTAGGCCTCCGGTGCTGTTCAAAAGACTGTATGTACAAGACTCGTAGGAGGACTGGCACTATTAGACATCTAGGGAATGGGAAAATAGGAAAGCTATATAAAGCTGGGTGTGGTACACACACCTGTCAGCCCAGTAATTGGAAGGCAGTGGCAGGAGGATAGGGAGCTCAAGAGCAGGTGGTAAAATGACCATACACTATCCACCAAGATTGTTGGGCAGAAGAGACAACCAGAGAGCCAAGGGTGTGCCCCACCAGCCAAGAGAGATTAATAGGTTCCACTGTGTCCCCCCCAGACGAGAAACCGTGGAAGGGTCGTCCTTGGTGGCTGCGCACCCTGAAACCGCCACCTGCCAGGCCCCTGGGGAATGAAACAGAGCGAGGCCAGCTGGGCCTGAAGCGCTCAGTCAGCCGAGAGCGCTACGTGGAGACCTTGGTGGTGGCCGACAAGATGATGGTGGCTTACCATGGACGGCGAGACGTGGAGCAGTATGTGCTGGCCATCATGAACATTGTAAGTGCCTCCCCCTTCCTGGCTCTGGAGTCCTGACAACCTGCATCCACCTTCTAGGGTGTCAGGGAAAAGGTGTCACTTTCACCCCTTATCCACAACCTGGGACCAGAGCAACAGAGGAGAGAAGGAAGCGGAGAAATACCTGCATAGACCATGAATGCTGGGAGGGAGTGCAGCAAAGTCTAGGAACAGATGCTCCAGTGGAGGCAGCCTGCCAGGCTTAAACCTCAAAGCTCTGTCCCGCTTGCGCTGTTTGCCCTTGAGCAGGTTACTTCACCACTCTGCCTTAACTTAGCCATCTATAAGGATCAAGGTAGGGGCTGGGGAGACGGCTCAGGGGTTAAGAGCACTGGCTGTTCTTGCAGAAGACCTGGGTCTGAATCCCAGCACCCACATGGTGACTAACAACCATCCATAACTCCAGTTCCGGGGCCTCCGACATCCTCTTCTGTCCTCCGCAGTCAGGCACTGGTGCACTTACACACATGCAGGCTCAACACATACAATAAGTTTTTTTTTTTAAATGGAAAAGGTCTAGCCGGGCGTGGTGGTGCATGCTTGTAGTCCCAGCACTTGGGAGGCAGAGGCAGGCAGATCTTTGTGAGTATCTCTGTGGGTTCAAGGTCAGCCTAGTCTACATAGCAGGCTCTAGGCCAGCCAGGGCTACAAAAAAAAAAAAAAAAAAAAAAAAAAAAAAAAAAAGGAAAAGCTCTGGAGAGCTGGCTCAGCAGTTAAGAGTGCATTCTGCTCTTGCAGAGGACCCAAGTTCAGTTCCCAGCACCCACATCAGACGCTCACAACTACCTGTAGCCCCAGCTCCAGAGGATCTGATACTGCCTTCTGGCCTCCTTGGGTACCTGCATTCATATGCACATACCCATGTGCAAACACATATATGTATAATTAGAAAAATAAATCTCTTTTAAAAAAGATATAGCACATAGCATATGGTAGGTACATGTAAGTGTTTGCATGAAAACAAACATGCAGGGACTGGGGAGAGGCTCAGTCAATAAAGTGCTTGTTGCACATGGGAACCTGAGTTTGTTGTGCACTGAAACCCACATTTAAAAAAAAAAACAGGTGAGGCAGTGAGATGGCTCAGCAGGTAAAGGTGCCTGCCACCAAGCCTGAGGACCTGAGTTCAATCCCCAGGATCCACACAGTATGAGGAGAGAACTGACTCCTCAAAGTTGTCCTCTGACCTCTACATGTGCACTGTGGCACTAATGCACCCAACCACATATGTACATATGCAACAAATAAATACAATTTTTAATTTTTTTAAAAAAAGCAAGGCATGGTGGTACATGCTTTTAATTCCAGCAACTGAGAGATGGAGATGGGCAGATCTTCAGGCTCGCTGGTCAGCCAGGCTAGCCTAGTTCTAAGTTCAGTGAAAGACTTTGTCTCAAAAAACAAGGTAGGGGGTTCATCGATGGCTCAGTGGCTAAGAGCACTGGCTGCTCTTGTAGAGGACCACATTTGGTTCCTAGCACCCACATGGCAGCTGACAACCATCCATAATTCAAATTCCAGGGGATCTGACACCCTCTTCTGGTCTCTGTATGCATGTGATGCACTTAACAAACATGCAGGCAAAACACTCATCACATAAAATAAAAAATAAATCCAAAAATATATTTAAATAAATAAAAAACAAATCTTTAAACAACAACAAAAAGACACAACCAAGGAGGCACCGGATGCTGATCTCTGGCCACTGCATCCATCCTCCTATGAACACATCAACACATGTATGCACACACTAAAATAAACACACAGCTTGCAGGATTACATGGTTAGCAGTGCACACAGACCCACATCTGTATGCACACAGTGCACCAGCACACAAGCAGCTACCTGCCAGTTGATACAGATAACCTCCTTGCTTCTCATTCATAGCAGATGCTTTGAGACCCTCACCTGATACAATGTAAACGCTACATTATATCATTTAATCAAGGGGGGCTATCAATGTGTTTAGTGCATATGTAACTGTGTGTGTGTGGTGTATATAGGTGTTCATGTGTGTCCACATGTATGTGGAAGCCAGAGGTTGGCATTGAGTATCTCCCTCAATCAATATCCACCTTTGTTTTCATTTATTTATTTTTATGTATATGAGTGTTTTGCCTGCATGTATGTAAATGCACTACATGTGTGCAATACCCAGAGAGGCCAGAGGAGAGCACTGCATCCTCTGAAACAGGAGTTACAGATGGTTGTTAGCTGCCATGTGGATGCTGGGAACCAAACTCAGGGCCTCTGGAAGAGCATCCAGTGCTCTTAACCTTGTTTTCATTTATTTATTTTTATGTATATGAGTGTTTTGCCTGCATGTATGTAAATGCACTACATGTGTGCAATACCCAGAGAGGCCAGAGGAGAGCACTGCATCCTCTGAAACAGGAGTTACAGATGGTTGTTAGCTGCCATGTGGATGCTGGGAACCAAACTCAGGGCCTCTGGAAGAGCATCCAGTGCTCTTAACCTCTAAGCCATCCCCCGCCCTTCCCCCTTTTTTTTTTTTTTTTTTTTTTGAGACAGGAGTTCTCACTGGACCTGGAGCTCACCAGCTGGCTGAGTTGACTGACCAGACTCCAGGAATCTGCCTGTCCCTGTTCCCTCAGCACTGCAATTATAGCATGTGCCCCTGACACCTACCTTTTTTTTCTTTTCTTTTTTTCCTTCTTTTTCTTTCTTTTTTTTTTTTCTTCTCAGTAGTAACATGTCATCACTGCAAGACCCTTTACATGGGTGCTGGAGATCCAAACTTAGGTCTTCGTGCCTACACAGCAAGCACTTTGCCCACTGAGACATCTCCCCAACCTGCTAATTTTTGTCAGATATTTTTTTCCTGAGACAGGGTCTTATGTAGCCCAGGCTGGCTTCAACTCTATGTAGCTAAGGCTAGCTTTGGAATGTTGATCTTCCTGTCTCTACTTCCCAAGTGCCGGGATTACAGGCATGCCCCACCACACAATAAATTTTCATATATATTCAGTCTGTGGTTGGTTGAATCCATAGGTGCAAAGCCCAGGGATATGGAGGGGTGTCTACTCAATTCTTTTTTTTAAATATTTTATATATTATTTTTATTTTATTTGTATGAGTGTATTGCCTGGATGTGTATAAATGCACCCATGTCATGCAATGCCCACAGAAGTCAGAAGAAGGCGTCAGATTCCCCTGGACCTGGAGTTACAGATAGTTGTTAGCCACCATGTGGGTGCTGGGAATTGAACCCGGGTCCTCTGCAAGAGCAGTCAGTGCTCTTAACTGCTGAGCCATCTCTCTAGCCCCTCTACTCAATTCTTATGCTAGAACTTGATCAAGATTCTAGAACTCCTTTTTTTTTTTTTTTTAACTGATTGATTGATATATTTTATATTTTTGGTCTTTTTGAGACAGGGTCTCCCTGTAGCTCCAGCTGTCCTGGAACTCACTATGTAGACAGGCTGGCCTTGAATTTACAGAGATCCACCTGCCTCTGCCGCCTGAGCACTGTGATTAAAGGTGCGCACCGCCATGCCTGGCATGACTGATTTATTTTTTTATGTATATGAGTGTTATGCCTTCATGTGTGTAATTGCACCCATGTCATGCAGTTCCCATGGAAGGCAGAAGAGGGCATTGGATCCCCTGGAACTAGAGTCACAGATGGTTGTTAGCTGCCACATGGGTGCTGAGTTTCCTACAAGAAAAGCCAGCGCTCTTAACTGCTGAGCCATCTCTCCAGCCCAAGATTCTGGACCTTCTATTCCTCAGCCTCCTCCTCTGTTAAAAGGGACTACAGTGGCACCTGCCACCGAGGATAAAGACTAGTACAAAGAGAACAGGGTAGAGCACTTGTCATACAGTAAGATTTATTGAATGGGGTTCTCGTTTCATTGAAGCAAAAGAGAAGACAAAGGCTGGCAAAGTGGCTCAGTGGGTATAGACACTTGCCACCAAGCCTGATGACCTGAGCTCTATCCCTTGGACCAGCATGGTGGAAGGAGAGAACTGACTCTCACAACTTGTCCTCTGACCTACACACACACACACACACACACACACACACACACAAATAAATGTAATAAAAAATTATTTAGCCTGGTACAATGATGCATGCTTTAATCCTAGCACTCAGGAGGCAGAAGCAGGTGGATCTCTGTAAGTTCACAGCCAGCCTGTTCTATATAGCAAGTTCCAGACCAGTCAGGACTACATAGTGACACCCTGTTTAAAAAAAAAAAAAACAGGGACTGGGGAGATGGCTCAGTAGTTAAGAGCACTGGCTGCTCCTGCAGAGGACCCAGATTTGGTTCCCAGTACCCACCTGGTGGCTAACAGCTAGGACTCCGGTTCCAGGTGATCCAAAACCCTCTTCTGGACTCCATGGGCACTGCATGCATGGGTGCACTTACATACATACATACATACATACATACATACATACATACATACATAACACTCATATACATAAAATAAAAAATAAATCAAAAATGTTTTTAAAAAACTAAAAAAATTTTCAAGACAAAAAGTTTGGCAGACTAATAAATGACACAAGATGTTGATATAACATTGTCCCTGCGTTCTGTCCCAGCTCCGCATCCCTTCCTTGGGCTTTCAGAGTTTTCTAAAACTTACCAGGCTACATGGTAAGACCCTGATTTCTAATGGGATATGGGTCACACAGGATTCCTACGATCCCCAAACAGCCTGGTTTCCATCACCTGGGTTCACTTAACCCCGGGCTACTTCATCCTTCCCTCTTACTGCTTCTCCATGGTTGCTCCCATCCCACCCTCCTGTATGGATGCTTAAATTGGGCTTTCAGACGGGAGAGGAATGAGATCATATGCTTGTCCTCCAGGCCACTTCTGAGTGAAAACACAAGGCATCCTGAGAGGGTGGGACAAACAGGAGTTGGAGGACAAGTAGAGAGGTAAGCTGAGTCGGAACAGTCAGAGAAGCATGCTGGTAGGCAACCCAGACCTGAATGCCACATAGGCACCACAGCTGCCCGTCCTACCTCTTGTATGCCAATTCCCTCATCTTTGAAGTAGGAATGAGAGTGGTACTTTGTTTGTGAAAGGGTCTGGGAGTACGATTTACTTAGTACTCAGCACACACTAGGTACTCAGAGCAAACAGCTATCACTCTTCATTTCTTTCTTGATTTTAAGATTTTGTTTTTATTTTATATGTATGAATGTTTTGCCTGCATGTATATAAGTGCACCATGTGTGTGCCTAGTGCCTGTGGAGGCCAGAAGAGGGCATAGGCACCCCTGGAACTGGAGTTAAGGATGGTTGTTAGCTGCCTTGTGGTGTTGGGAACTCAACGCAGGTGTAAGTGGTCTTAATCACTGAACCACCTTTCCAGCCTGCCCCATCTCCATTTTTCTACGTGTGTGCGTGCACACATGCACATGCGGGCAGTTGCATATGGAGGCCAGAGGCTAACATAGGGTGTCTTCCTCAATTACTTGTCATCTTCTTAAAAATATATTTTGTATTCTTTGAGAATTTCATACATGTATACAAAGTATTTTTTTTTATCACACCTATCCCAAGTTCCTCCCATACCTCTCACCATGCCTCCTCCTCCCTCCTCCTTTTTTTTTTTTTTTTTTCTTTTTTGAGACAGGGTCTCACTATATAGCCTTAGCTGACCTGGAACCCTATGTAGACCAAGTTGACCTTGAACTAATAGAGCCTCTACCTTCCAAGTACCACACTGAACTTTTTTTTCTTAAAACAGAGTCTCACTATGTAGCCCTGACTTGCCGGGAGCTCCCTGTGTAGACCAGGCTCCCCTTGAACTCACAGAGATCTTGACTTCCCCCCAGCACGCACACAAACACACACACACACACACACACACACACACACACACCAGCCATCAACTACCAAGAGCTCTTCTGCTAGGGGTGCGATTCCTCCTCCCTCATCCATTCTCCAATTTACTTCTTTTGTTTTTGTTTTGTTTCATTTGGGGGTGGAGTGGAAACAAGGTCTCCCTGCAGCCCCAGCTGACCTGGAACTCACTCCGTAGACCAGGCTGTGAGATCTGCCTGCCTCTTCCTCCCAAGTACTAGGATTAAAGGTGTGAGCCACCATGCCCAGCTTTTCTTCTTCTGTTACTACGTTTATTTATTTGTGCATGTGCATACACACACTGGCTTACGTGTGGAGGTCAGAGAACAACTTGTAGGAATCCGTCTCTCCTTCCATCATGTGGGCCCCTCAGACTGAACTCAACTTATCACAGTTGGTGGTAAGCACCTTTATCACGTGCCTTTTTCTGCTGAGCCATCTTAACTGCCCCCGACTTTACTTTTTGAGACAAGGTTTCTCACTGAAACTGGAACTTGTAGATTCAGCTAACCTGGCTTACCAGTGAGTCCAGGGACCCACCAGTCTCTGCCTCCTATCACTGGGATTACAGGTGCATGCCTTGTACCCAGCTTTTGTTAAATTTTATGAGTGTTTTTTGTGCACACAAACCCTTGGAGGCCAGAAGAGGGTGTCAGATCCCATGGAACTGGAGTTACCGATGACTGTTAGCTGTCAGGTCAGTGCTGAGAACCAAACCTGGGTCCTCTGCAAGAGTAGCCAGTGCTCTTAACCGCTGAGCCAGCTCTCCAGCCCCATATATATTTTTAATCTGGGTGCTAGAGATTGAACTCAGGTCATGACAAGTGCTTTACTGAATGAGCCATCTCCATAGTCCTGGGCTTCCTTTTCTATTCTGGGCTCCTCTTAAGACTCGGTCTCTCTTGTTTCTTGGAGGTCAGGTTGCCAAACTTTTCCAGGACTCGAGTCTGGGAAACATCGTTAACATCCTCGTCACTCGCCTTATCCTGCTCACTGAGGACCAGGTGCGGGTCTGGGAGATGCTTCACCCCTTCCCCTTCCACACCAGTGCTGCCTGATGTCTCTAGGATGGCAAGGCACCCATGCAATCTGCCCCTCCCTAGCCCACCCTGGAGATCACCCACCACGCCGGGAAGTCCCTGGACAGCTTCTGTAAGTGGCAGAAATCCATCGTGAGCCACAGCAGCCATGGCAATGCCATCCCAGAGAATGGCGTGGCCAACCATGACACAGCTGTGCTCATTACACGGTAAGGAGCAGTCCTGGGCTACCAGGACTAAGGCCAGCCAGAGGCACATGGTCCAAGTAGGAGTGGCATTTGCTGGTGGAAGGTGGAAGGGCAGGAAGCTTAACAGCCACATCTTGAGGAAGCCAGGGGAAAAGGATGCTAGGAACCTGAGAATGGGAGGGGCGTTGGCATTTGAGCCTTAACCATGCACTCATTCATTCAGTCAGTCAGTCAGTCAGTTAAGTATCCCCAGCATCCCCAAGACCAATTCATTGGCTCCAGTGGAGGCACAGCATGAGGCTTTGGGTGGGAAACAGGCGACACCTCCTAGGCAAAACTCGGCCCTCAGATCCAGTTGTGATATTAAATGTCTGTCATCCCAGCACCTAGAAGGTGGAAGCAGGAGGATCAGAAATTCAAGGTCACCCTTGGCTACATAGTGAGTTCAAGGCTAGCGTGGGTACCTGAGACCTTGTCTCAAAAAAGAAATTAAATAAATACAGGGGCTGGAGAGATGGCTCAGCAGTTAAGAGCACTGACTGCTCTTGCAGAGGACCCGGGTTCTATTCCCAGCACCCACTTGATGGCTACGAACCATCCTTAACTCCAGTTCCAGGGGAATCCGAAGCCCTCTTCTGACCTCCGGCATTGCACAACACCGGTGCACTCGCATACATGCAGGCAATACACTCACACATAAAAATAATTAAAAAAAAACTTTATTTGGTCTTTTTGAGACAGGGTCTCCCTATAGCCCCAGCTGTCCTGGAACTCACTATGTAGGCCAGGCTGGCCTTGAACTCACAGAGCTCAGTCTGCCTCTGCCTCCCAAGTGCTGGGATTAAAGGCATGTGCCACCATAAAATATTTTTAAAAAATTAAATATAAACAAGGAAATAGGGCTACCTGAGACTTCATCTCAAAATAAATAGACTTAAATACAGCTCAGTTGGTAGAGAGCCTGCCTAGCATGCACCAAGCCCTGAGTTCAATCTCCAGCACCATATAAAACCAGGCGTGTTGTTGCACACTTGTAATTCCAGCATTAGCATTTGGGAGGTAGAGGCAGGAAGATCAGTAGTTCAGTCATCCTTGGCTACATAGAGAGTTCAAATCCAGCCTGGGCTATATGAAACCCTGTAGCTCACACACAGACACACATCTGCATGCCCAGACCCCAGAGTTAAGCATGGTGGCTGCCTCCAGACTCTCACTGCCCTCTTTCCACAGCTATGACATCTGCATCTACAAGAACAAACCCTGTGGCACACTAGGTACAGGAGTTCCAAGGGTTCCAGGCACCACAGAGGGTGGCCTTGTACTGGGGTGAGACCTTAATACGGTAAACGGGACCCAGCCAGCACAGCCCCGGGTCCCCTGACCCACCCCACATGCCCGTTTCCCAGGCTTGGCTCCCGTGGGTGGGATGTGTGAGCGAGAGAGGAGCTGCAGTATTAACGAAGACATTGGCCTGGCCACAGCCTTCACCATTGCCCACGAGATCGGGCACACGTGAGGCCAGGACACACTGAGAGGGAGGGGGTGGGGGGCCGTGCTCGTTCCTGCGCCCAGCAGAGCCAACGCCCCTCTCCGTAGATTCGGCATGAACCATGACGGTGTGGGGAACAGCTGCGGGGCCCGTGGCCAGGACCCGGCAAAGCTCATGGCAGCCCACATTACCATGAAGACCAATCCGTTTGTGTGGTCCTCCTGCAGCCGCGACTACATCACCAGCTTTCTGGAGTGAGGATGGACCGCCTACCTACTCATCGGGGCACAGTTGTGTTAGAGGAGCTCTGGAAGTCAGAGCTGCTGTCTTGGGGCCCCCCACCCCTCCCCCACCTAGCCGGGTGTAACGCTAACATTGTGGCCTTGCAGGTCCCGTTGGCATGACAGCTGTTTTGTTCTCGACACAGCTCGGGCCTCGGACTCTGCTTGAATAACCGACCTCCCAGACAGGATTTCGTGTACCCGACGGTGGCTCCTGGCCAGGCTTACGATGCCGACGAGCAGTGCCGATTCCAGCATGGAGTCAAATCGCGTCAGTGTAAATACGGGGTAGAGAGAGCCTTCCTGCTTTCCTTCCTTGGGAAGGGGAGGTGGCCGTAGGGGGTGGGGAGCTTCCCTGGCACCTGCCCGCGGAAGTGGGGGGGGGGGGCCCGGGGGGGGGGTGTGGTTCCCTGGCCCGCTCCCGGGGGAATGGGGGGGGGGGGGCACGAGAGCAGGGAAAGGGGTGAAGTGAGCCCCCACCTCATGGGGAACTGGGAGGACTGAAGTGTGGGGTATCCAGATCCTAATCAAGTCAACAAAGACTGGGACTAGAAGTGAGGTGGGGGGCGGGGCTCAGTAAAGAGCACTGGCTGTTCTTACAGAGAACCTGGGTTCAATTTTTAACGCCCAGATCTAGCTAACAACGGATCGTAACTCCAGTTCCAGGGGATCCGACGCCCTCTTCTGGCCTTCAGGGGTATTGCATGACACAGGTGCACCAACATGCAGGCAGAACACTCATACACCTAAAAAATAAATGAGCCTGAGTGGTGGTGACTCGTTCCTTTAATCCCAGCACTCGGAAGGCAGAAACAGGCGGAGCTCTGTGAGATTGAAGCAGTCTGGTCTCTATAGTGAGTTCCAGGTGAGCTGGGGCTCAAAAAGACTAAAAATATGTCCAAAGAAAGATGGAAAAAAAAAAAAAAAAGAATAAAATGCCAGTTAGTCATGTGTCCCCATGGATGCATAGTAAACCAAAGGCCAGCCTGGGCTGCCTGAGACCTTGTCTGAAAATAAATGATGCCAGGCTGGGGAGAGATGACTCAGTAAAGGATTTGCTTTGCCAGCTTGAGGACCTGAGTTTGATCTCTAGAACCTATGTAAAATAAGCATGGTGGGGCATGCTTGTAATTCCAGCATTGTGGAGGCAGAGGCAGGTGGGTCCCTGGGGCATGCTGACCAGCCAGCCTCCTTGGCAAGTTCCAGGTTCAATGAGACACCCTGCCTCAAAGAACTGGGCGGGCAGCTCCTGAAGAATGATGACCAAGATTGACCTCTGGCCTCCATATGTGTGTGTGCACACACAAAGAATGACAACTGACTGAGGGCTGGGCTTGGTGTAGTCATCTGTTTTTCGTAAAAGACCACTTATGGCAGCACCAAAGTCCCAAGATGTCTAACCAGGTAGTTCTGAGCAACATGTCTAGACTTGGTAGCAATAGTGTCACTGGAGATGGGGCCATCTTTGCTTGGCAAGGAACTTGAGAGAATTTTGCAGAGATGCTGTCTTCTCTGCCCACATCCCCTACTGACTGGTTCTTAAGGTCTCCTGGCTCCAGTCTTTGGCTGGATAGACACTGAGTTTCCTGAACCAACACTCCGTTTGCTGAGGTTCAAACTCTCAAACTGCCATTTGTGAAGTGCCTGGAGAGATGGCTCAACAGTTCAGAGCTTTTGCTGTTCAGAGGACCTGGATTCAGTTCCCAGCACACACATGGTGGCTCTTAACCATCTGTAACTCCAGTTCCAGGGGATCCAGCACTCTCTTCTGGCCTCCTTGGACACTTCATGCATGTAGTATATTTATATACATGCAGACGAAACACTTATGCACATTAAAAAAAAAAAAGTGAGCTGAGTGTTTGAGAAGACGGGTCAGTGGGTAAAAGCAATTGCTGCATAAGCAAGGGTACCTGAGTGCAAATCCCCAGCACCCATGTAAAAAAGTTGAGTGTGGCCGTATGTGCGTATAACCCTAGTGCTAGAGACAGAAGGATTGCTGGGGCTTGCTGGCTGCAAGCTAACTCTAGGTTCAGTGTGAGACCCTGTCTCAAAGGAATAAGGCGGAGAGTGATAGAGCAGCACAACCAACGCCCTCCTCTGGCCCCCTGTGTTGTGTGCACTGGAGCTCACACACACACATGCGTGCATGCATACACATAAAATAAAGTGAGCTGGGATGCAGCGATTCCCAGTCCAGAAAACCAAAGCTCTGCTGGCTTTTTGTTTGGGACCAGCTCACCTAGGGCTAATACCTCTGTCAATTCCTTAAGCATACTCCCTGGCTCCCTTCAGCCCCAGCCTTACTGGTACGTCCAGCCTCGGTCCTCCACACTTTCCACAGAAGCCAATTACACAGCTATTGCCCAACATAGTACCATGTTGATAGAAAACAGAGAATGGGCAGCTAGCTGTCAGACTGCCCCTCATTTCTTTCCATTTCTAGACCAAGAGATAAATCCTGAAGCAATGTGTATTTTGAGATTTTTACTCTGTTTTGAGACAGAGTCTCACTATGTAGCCCTAGCTGTTCTGGAATTTGCTATGTGGCCTCCAAATCACAGAGATCTACCTGCCTCTGCCTCTGGAGTGCTGGAGTTAAAGGCTTACAATACCACACCGGGCCTGACATTTTTACTCTTGCCCTGACCCTCAGCACTAATTAGGCTGATAACTACAGCACATTTTTCTAATGCATTCCTAAGGAATTCTAGGCTGCCTCTGAATATCTTTTGTGACCTGGTATCTTTTTTTACATTTATTTATTATTTTTATTTTATGTGTATATGTTCTTTGCCTGCACGTATATAAGTGCATCACGTGCATGGAGTGCTAGCAGAGGTCAGAAGAGCGTGTCAGATCCCTTGAAACTGGAGTTAAAGACAGTTGTTAGCTGTTGCGTGGGTGCTAGGAACTGAATCCTGGGTCCTCTGCAAGAGCAACAGTGCTCTTAAGCACTGAGCCAGCTCTTCAATCCGGTGACCTGGTATCTAACAACAATAATAGCTGATTCTCAGCACTCACTAGCTGCTTAGCATGTGATATATTTCATCTCATTTAAACTCCTGATAAAACCATTATCTCCAAGTAGCAGATGAAGAAACTGTGTTTAAGGAAGGAGCACATCTGACCACAATTGTAAGAACATATAGAGCTGGAGTTTGAACTTAGATCTATCTCTTTTAAGCCAGTGTTTTTCTTTATTTTTAAATTTATTATTGGGGGGAAGGCACATGCCATGACACAGGTGTGGAGCCCTAGAGGACAACTTTCTGGAGTCAATTCTGTCATTCCACCATGGGTCTTAAGGATGGAACTCCAGTCACCAGGCTTATGCCATAAATAGTTTTACCCACTGAGCCATGCTGCTGGTCCTAGATCTTTCTCCTGTTTTTATATTTTAAAGTTTTATTTATTTATTTTGATTTTATCTGTATGAGTGCTTTGCCTGCATGTATATAAGTGTGCCATGTATGTGCAATGCCTGGAGGCTAGATCCCCTGGACCTGGAATTACAGATAGTTGTTAGCTACCATGTGAGTGCTGGGAACCAAACCCAGGTCCTCTGTGAAAGCAGCCAGGGCTCTTAGCTGCTGAGCCATCTCCAGCCCCTCTCTTTTTTATGTTTATATTTCTTTTTATTGTTTATTGTGAGTGTATGTCTGCATCTGTGTGTCTGTGCATATGCATGTGCATAAGTGCCAGCAGAGGTCAGAAAAAGGCATCAAATCCCCTAGAGCTGGAGTTATTACTGTTGGTCGAGCTGCCTATCATGGGTGCTCATTTTCAAACTCCAGTCCTTATAATAGAGCAGCAAGCACTCTTAAGCACTGAACAATCTCCCCAGCCCCCACTAGAGCTGTTTAACTCCAGATTTTACTGAAGGTGTTATGGGGAAGAACTGTCAGAATGTCAGGCTTGAGCTGACAATATGCTGAGTGGAACAACTTATTTACTTACTTCCCTTGGTTTTTGAGACAAGGTCTCTCATTGATCTGGAACTCATTTATTAGGCTAAAGTGGCTGGCCAGGGAGCCCCTGGGATCTACCTGGCTCTCTTTGAACACTGAGATTACAAATGAATGCCACCACACCTGGCTTTTTTAACCTGGGTTCTGGGGATTGAACTCAGGTCTTAATGCTTACATGGCAAGTACTTCACGAAGCTATCTCCCCAGCCCCTGAACCTTTTCCTTTTGAAAGAACATCTTCCTGGTCTGTCATGTGAGGAATTATCTTCTACATGGAAATTTGGTTTGTAGGCGCTTGCCTGGCATGTAGGTGGCCCTGGGTTTGATCTCCAGTACATATAAACTGGGTATAGTGGCACAGGCCTGTCATCCTAGCACTTGTGGGGTAGAAGATGAGAAGTTCAAAGTCATCTTTGGCTACATAGCCAGACAGAGGCCAGCCTGGGCCACATGAGGTCTTTTCTTGAAAGTGATGATAAAGAGGTTGGGGATTTAACTCAGTGTTTAAAGTGCTTGCCTAGCAAGCACAAGGCCCTTGGGTTAGTCCTCAGCTCCAGGCAAAAATAAAATAATATAAAATAAAATAGTGAGTGGTTAATTTATGTAAATAGGTGAGCTTAGTTCCTGCCCCAGGGTTATCCGTGTTCATTTATGGTATTTACCTTGTCAGAAAGCAGGCATAGGCTTGCCATCTTAGAGATGAAGAAACTGGGGTCCAGACAGGCATTGCAAGTTGGTGGCAAAATTGGTCTCCTAGAGTGGACTAGGACTTGTTTACATGTACCACAGTGCCTCCTTGTGGAGAGGAGAAGAAGGACTAGAATTAAAGAGGTGGCAGAAGTATAATTGAGGCTGACTGATACTTCTAGAAGTAACCATGAAAATACTAGTCATTGAAACTAGAAAACCTGGAATGTCCCTGTGAGGGGACAGAAATCAGGGACTCTCTGGAGGGGCGTTGAGATATTTTGAGGTATATGCAGGTATCTCTGAGGGGCTCTGGAAGGGTACCTGACAGCCTTCACTTAGTCCATGCCCAAATCTTCAAATCCCAGTCTTTCACTGACCTGGAACTCATGGATTACCTGGAAGGGTTCAGTTCACAGAGTATTACAGACAAACCTCTACTTCTCAGAAGGAAAGACTCCAGGAGGGTGGGGGTAGGAGAGGCGGAAGAATGTGAGATTTGGCCATACTCCATACTCGATCCTGCAGCGGCTTCTCTCCAAGGATACTAACCTGGACCTAAAGGGTGAGAGCAGCTCTCTGGGATTGTTCCAACTTTCTGCCATGAATTGAACTGTTGCTAGGGCCTGAGCTGCCCAAGCAGGATTCAAAAGAAGAGGAACATCCCACACAGACTGAGCCCCATGCTGCCTAGCAAGGAACCTGTGTGGAGGTGTGCGCACTTATATACAGAGAGAGGGAGAGAGAGAGAGAGAGAGAGAGAGAGAATGAGAATGAAACTCTTGCCACGAGTTGCCACCCAGACCTGACTTCTCAATGTCTCTGTTGTCTCTTGAGTTCTTTGACCTGTCCCCAGAGGAGTTGAGGAGAGCCCTTCCTGTTACCCGCAGTAGGCCCAGGTTTCAGAAGGACCTGAAATCAGTAGAGAACACAACCAGGCTTCCAGGTTTAGGTTCAACTCAGCAATGTTCGTCTGAAGCGGTGTGACCTCTAGCCAAGGACTTTGTCTTTATTTTATGTGTATAAGTGTTTTGCTTGCATGTATGTAAGCGTACCACATGTTTGCAATGCCAGTGGAGACCAGAAGAGGGTGTTGAATCCCCTAGAACTGGAGTTATAGACTTGTTTTAAATTTTTTTAATTTATTATTGGAGGGAAGGACACATGCCACGGCACAGGTGTGGAGACTTAGAGGACAATTTTTGGGAGTCGATTCTGTCCTTTCACCATGGGTCCCAAGGACAGAATTCAGGTCATCAGGCTTGTGCCATAAGCAGTTTTACCCATTGAGTCATGCTGCTGCCCCTAGATCTTTCTTCTGTTTTTATACTTTTGAGTTTTATTTTAGTTTTATCTGTATGAGTGCTTTGCCTGCATGTAAGTGCACCCATGTTGTGCAATGCCTTTAGGCTAGATCCCCTGGATCTGGAATTACAAATGGTTGTTAATTGTCATATGGGTGCTAGGACCCAAACCTGAGTCTTCTGCTAGAGCAGCCAGTGCTTTTAACCACTGGGCCAGCTCTCCAGAGCCCCCCCACCCCTTGTCTTTTAAACTTACATTTATGGGGGCAGTGGCCATGGCCCACGTGTGGAGATAGGAGGACATGTGGAGATCTTAGGAAAGTTGATTCTCTCCTTCCACCACGTGGATTTCAGGCATCAAACTCAGGTCTTCAGGCTTGGTAGCAAGCACCTTTACCTGCTGAACCATGTAGCCAGCCCCAAGACACCTATCTTGTCTCTACACCTTGGTTTTCTTGGAATGACATCGAGGTCACCGTGTCCAGAGTTTATAGCAAGCATACATGCTACATAAGTGTAGCTTACTACCAGAGGAAAAATGTCAGGCCATGATCCCATAATGACATTCTTTGAGACCCAGGGAAGCACTGGGTTCTCCGAGCCTGCCAGAGGCTTGCTGGCGGGAGGGGGACGAGCCTGAGAGGTCGCCTCTGTCCCGCAGGAGGTCTGCAGCGAGCTGTGGTGTCTGAGCAAGAGCAATCGGTGCATCACCAATAGTATCCCAGCCGCTGAGGGGACTCTGTGTCAGACGCACACCATCGACAAGGGGGTGAGCAATGGCCAAAGAGGCCCGGCTGGCCCTGCCCCCTGCCCTTGAGCCTGGCCCCGCTAGCCACTTCTGCGAACTCTCAAAGCTTTGGTCACGCGGCCTGCAAATTTCGTTTCCCTGGGCCCCACCCCCTGGCCTGAGGCCACTCCCCTTGGAATCTCAAGCCACCTCCGGGTTACCGGTTCTGAGCTTAAGTCATTACTTGGCTAAATCTGTTACCTCTGGCCTTAAACCCCTGTGCTACCGGAATCTGTCTTCAGACCCTGCCTCTGTCCAGCCGGCTACCTCCATCCCAGACAGACTGTAACCTGTGACTTTGGTGTATGGTGGATGGAGAGGGGGCTCTGAACCCAGCATCTGCGAAGTCAGACTCGCCCCTTTCCCTTCTTCCCTCCACTTCCGGCCCAGTGGTGTTACAAGCGAGTGTGTGTCCCTTTTGGGTCTCGACCGGAGGGCGTAGATGGAGCCTGGGGGCCGTGGACTCCGTGGGGCGACTGCAGTAGGACATGTGGCGGTGGCGTGTCATCTTCCAGTCGTCACTGTGACAGTCCCAGGTCAGTCCTCAGGATCTTCTCCCAGCAGTGAGGTAACTCACCCACTGTCGCCCCTGCCTCATCTCTCTCCAATGCCCCTGCCCCTTCCAGGCCTACCATCGGGGGCAAATACTGTCTGGGGGATAGACGGAGGCACCGTTCCTGCAACACCGATGTAAGTTTTCCCCGGAACCCTTCTCAGAATTCTCTCTGGACCTGCCCTCCCTATCCCTTCACCCTCCATCCCAGCACCTCCTGGTCCTCCGGTCTTGAAATTTGCAGAGATGGGCCTGCCTCTGTCTCCGCCTCCCTGGTGCAGAGACTAAAGGTGTGCCCCACCACGCCGCGCTCTTCAAATTCTTTAACTAGAGAAGTCTGCTTCTGTGAAAGTAGCCTTCCCTCTTGCCCCAGCTCCAAATATGTCAGCCCTGCGTCTCCACCCTTTAAAACTAAATCCAGCCCTTAGTAACTGTCATCTGTCAAAGCCTGATTGAGCTTGCTGTCACCAAACCTTCGACTTACCCTGGGCCTGGGGCTCCCTGTGGCTGCCTCACAGGGATACAGGGGTTAGGTTGTACACGTCTAACAAGCCAGAGGAAGGGATGTTCAGAAGTTAGGGAGAGTTTTGGAGTGAACTGTGGCCTTTCTGGTCCCCTGCTTAGGGATTCTCAGAGCATCCACATGCCTCTCATATTCAAAAAGAATTCCACACCTTCCCCAAACCTGTTCCATCCTACACCTCTTGTCTCAAGAAGAGTCTGAACTCAGAACCCTGGTGTCCACCCCCAGCTCCTCTCACCAACCAAGTGTAGGGGCATGAAACTGATCTCACTACTTCAGAGGCTAAGACAGGAAGACTATGAGTTTGAGGTCAGTCTCACAGAGCCTGTCTCAAAAATAAACACAAGCTGGGAGTTTGTAAAATGCTTGCTGTGCAAGCATGAGGACCTGAGTTCAGATCCCCAGCAACCACATAAAAAGCTGGTTGTAGCCAGGGTGGTGGCGCATGCCTTTAATCCCAGCACTTGGGAGGCAGAAGCAGGTGGATCTTTGTGAGTTTGAGGCCAGCCTGGTCTATATAGCAAGTTCCAGGCCAGCTGGGGCTACAGGGAGACCCTGTCTCAAAAAGACATAAATAAATAATAAGTGGAGAGCAAGTGAGGAAGATATCAGCATTGATTTCTTCCCACACAGACATGAGCACACATACACATGCTTGTGCACTCAAATGCAGACCTGCAGGTACACTAGCATGTACATGTGCATACACATGAACACGTACACAGACACAAACATAAACACACAGGGCTGGAGAGTTGGCTCAGCAGTTAAGAGCACTGGCTGCTCTTGCAGAGGATCTGGGTTCAGTTTCCAGCCCCCACATGGCAGCTAACAACCATTCTTAATTCCACTTCCAGAGAATCTGATGATACCCTCTTCTGACCTCCATGGGCATTGCATGACACAGGTGCACTTACATATGTGCAGGCAATAATAATAAAAATATTTTTAAAATAAACAAACCATAGCATATGCATCTTTATGCCCAGTGTGGGCTATCATACATTCTCACCTGGACTCCCTGCCTCCAGCCTCACTCATCTGACCCATGCCATTCTGAGCAAGAGTTCTCTGCTCTAACTTCTTTCTCACACCTTCACCCTAGGACTGTCCCCCTGGCTCCCAGGACTTCAGGGAAATGCAGTGCTCTGAATTTGACAGTGTTCCTTTCCGTGGGAAATTCTACACGTGGAAGACTTATCGAGGGGGTGAGAGGGGAGCCCCAGAGGCTGGGGGACAGTGGAGGACAGCAGCAGTCGGATGCATACAGTATTGTAAACATTTACCCATGATACAGCTTAATGGTGCTTTGCCTGCATATAGTGTCTGCCCGTGGTATCGGGTCTGGGGTCTGTTGCTCTTGTCCTTACCTCTCCCCAGGGAACAGGCAGGGAGTTCCAGGATGACCTGGCTCCAGGTCTGATGGGGCTGTGCCCCCCAGGGGGCGTGAAGGCCTGCTCACTGACTTGCCTAGCAGAAGGCTTCAACTTCTACACGGAGAGAGCAGCAGCTGTGGTGGATGGGACACCCTGCCGCCCAGACACAGTGGACATTTGTGTCAGTGGCGAGTGCAAGGTAGAGGGAATTCCCAGGGAGAAGGATATGGAGATGTGGGGAGAGGAGCATCTCCAGGACATCACCATCACTGCTTTCCTGTGTAGCATGTGGGCTGTGACCGGATCCTGGGTTCTGATCTGCGAGAGGACAAATGCCGAGTGTGTGGGGGTGACGGCAGTGCCTGTGAGACCATCGAGGGGGTCTTCAGCCCAGCTTTGCCAGGAACTGGTGAGAGCCCTTACCTCCACCACCACCCCCATTCCCTACTTGGGCCCAGAGGCTAGGGGTCAGGTTTAGCCCCACCATAGTTGCTAAGATCAGTAGCTTCTTAGACATTGACAATTCCATGGACTCCTAGTTAGAGTTAGGGTCTCAGGGACTCCCAAAAGCTCTAAGAGCATATAGCATGCTTACCTGTTACCGCAACAAAATATCTGACATGAAGCAATTCAGGGAGGAACAGCTTACTTAGACTTGTAGCTGGAGGGTATATAGTCAGTCATGGTGGAGATGTCATGGCAGCAGGGCAGTGAGGCAGCTGGTCACATTGTATCCACAGTCAGGAAGCAGAGAGAGATGAATTCTGATGCTCAACTCACTTTCTCTTTTTTAAAAAAAATGTGTGTATGAGTGTTTTGCCTACATGTATGTAGATACACCTTGTTGCGAAATGCTCACAGAGGCCAGAAGAGGGTGTCAGATCCACTGGAACTAGAGTTAAGGACAGCTGTTAGCTGCCATATGGTTGCTAGAAACAAATCTGGGTCCTCTGCAAGAGCATCCAGTACTCTTAACCATTGAGCCATCTCTCCAGCCCCTCACTTTCTCCTTTTATATAGTGTGGACCCCCAGCCCATGGATTTCAGTTAACCTAATTAGAAAACTCCTCACAAACATGCCCAGAGACTTGTCTCCAAGGTGATTCTAGATCCTGTTGAGTTGACAACCAGTATTAACCACAACAATCATAACTAGAAAGGACTCTAGTTACTGGTTTGGGATCTGGTGCAGAGACTTGGAAACAGATTACTTGGGACTAGGGACTAAATCTCTCCACTACATCTTCCTGGAGGCTTCAGAATGGGTAAAAAGAAGGTCACTTTCCATCCTGTGAGCCTAAGGGGCTGTGCAACTCTCTGCACTGGCATGCAAAGTCTTAGAGGGTCAGGGTACTGGGAGGGTAGGCAGACCACCTTTCCCAGCTTGGGCTGGCGTTGAGAGTGCACAGGGAGCTGGGAGTGAGACAGGAAGGTTCACGAAGGATGAGGAAACTGAAACCACTGCCAGGGAATGGTGGCCAGACAATATGATACGAGGTTGGCTCTGGCCACAAAGAACAAGTTGCAGAATGTGGGTGCCATTCCCCAAGCAGGGTCACCTTAAGGTTTTGTCTGGTTGGTTGGTTTTTGAGACAGGGTCTCCCTGTAGACCCAGCTGGCTTAGAACTCACTATGTAGACCAGGCTGGCCTTGATCTCACAGAGATCCACCTGCCTCTGCCTCCCGAGTGTTAGGTCACAATGCCCAGCTTTGTTTGTTTTCAGAGACAAGGTCTCACTATGTAACCCTGGCAAGTCTAAAACTCTCTGTATAGGCCACACTGGCCTCAAAGTCACAGAGATCCACCTGCCTGGTAGGTTAAGAATGGAGCATCTAGGCTGGGGAGATGGCTCAGTCAGTAAAGTGCTTGTTGTGCAAGCATGAAGAACTGAGTTTGAGCTGCATAACCCACATTAATAAAAACCTGGGCATGGACTAGCGAGATGGTTCAGTGGGTAGAAAGCACTCACCACACAAGTTTGACGTCTTGAGTTCAAGCCCTGGAACCTACAGGAGAAGGAAGGAAACGACTCCTGGAAGTTGTCTTCTGACCTGCACACATGTGCACACAATAATAATAATTTTTAATTTTTAATATGTATTTTTGTGTGTATGAGTGTTTTGTCCACACGTATGTAAGTGTACCACATGCATGCAGTGCCCAGGAAGCCAGAAGAGGGGTCGGAACTCCTGGAACTAGAGTTAAGGACATGTGTTGGCAGCCATGTGGGTGCTGGGAACCAAACCTGGGTGCTCTGCAAGTGCTTTTAACCACTGAGACATTTCTCTAGCACAAATAGTATATTTTTTAATTAAAAATCTGGGTGTACTGGCACAAGTTCTTAGTCCCAATGCTGGGGACGCAGAGACAAGCAGATCCCTGTGGCTCACTGACCATCCCATCTAGCCTGACCAGTGAGTGCCAAACCAATGAGAGACCCTGTCTCAAAGTAGACTAGATACTACTAGTCTACTAGTAACACCCCAAGTTGTTCTCCAACCTCCCTATGCAAGCTCGCACACACACACATGTGTACATCCCCACACGCACACATGTACACAAAAAGCTAAAGCTCTGTTGTCAAGTGTGAGATCAGATAATCTAGATTCAGGATGGAGGAATGAGGGCAGAAAAGACGAGAGGGAAACTGAGCGTAGTGGTACATATCTGTAATCTCAGCTGATCCAGGCCAGCCAAGGTGACAGAGTGAACCCTTGTATCAAAAGAAAAGAAGGGGCTGGAGAGCTGGTTCAGTGGGTAAGAGCACTGCCTGCTCTTGCAGAGGACTCGGACTCAGTTCCCAGCAACCACATGATGACTAACAATCACTGTAACTACAGTTCCAGGAGATCCAATGCCCTGCCTCTGTAGGCATCACATGCATGTGGTGCATTTACATCCATGCAGTCAAAACACACACATAAAATATAAATAAATAAATAATTTTAAAAATAAAGATTGATGGGCTGTAAGAGGGCCAGGCTGGTAAAGTGCTTGTTGCCAAGCCTGATGGCCTGAGTTTCATCGCCAGGATCCACATGGTGGAAGGAGAGAACCAACTCCTCCAAATTGTCCTCTGACCTCCACACACACATGACACATGCTCACACATATGTGTGCATGCACACACACATACGCATAGTCGGTAAATGTAACAAAAATGAGTAAGTTTGAGAGCAATAGAGACAGACACTCAACATTGACCTGTGGCCTCCACATGCACACACACGGGCATAAGAAGTTGCACACACACAAAAAGAACTTGATGGTACATGTATTGGTTCAAGTGAGGTCACAGTTAGATGGCGCTGTACGCACAACATAGCATGGGACTGTTAGCTGCAGTCATCAGGTGTGAAGGAGGCAGGCTGAGTGGGTGACAGCTAAACTCCATTGCCCAGGATATGAGGACGTCGTCTGGATCCCCAAAGGCTCTGTTCACATTTTCATCCAAGATCTGAACCTGTCCCTTAGTCACCTGGGTAAGCAGAGATGGAGGATGAGAATTGTGACTCCATGGGAGTGGGGAGGGACAACAAAGTGACTTCATTCTGACCCCTGTGCTGTACCCCAGCCCTAAAGGGGGACCAAGAGTCTCTGCTACTGGAGGGGCTGCCTGGGACCCCCCAGCCTCACCGCCTGCCCCTAGCTGGGACCACCTTTCATCTGCGTCAGGGGCCAGACCAGGCCCAGAGCCTAGAAGCCCTGGGACCCATTAATGCATCTCTCATCGTCATGGTAACAGTGGGACTTGGGGCAAGGTACAAGAGGACCTGAGCATCTATAGGGATGGAAATTTCATGACACCCCTCCAATGACTGTTTCCTGTGCCTCCAGGTGCTGGCCCAGACAGAGCTGCCTGCTCTCCGCTACCGCTTCAATGCACCCATTGCCCGGGATGCGCTGCCTCCCTACTCATGGCACTATGCCCCCTGGACCAAATGCTCAGCCCAGTGTGCAGGCGGTGAGGCTGGGGCGGGGGCCAAGAGCGGGCACTGTGCAGCCAACCTGAGGTTCTCTGGGCTGGCTAGGGCTGAGTGGGTTTCTCCCCTCCCCCCAGGCAGCCAGGTACAGGTGGTGGAGTGCCGAAATCAGTTGGATAGCTCAGCCGTGGCCCCCCATTACTGCAGTGCCCACAGCAAACTGCCCAAGAGGCAGCGTGCCTGCAACACAGAACCGTGCCCACCAGAGTGAGTGTCCTCCAGGGGGCAGGTGGCCCAGGGCTGGGTGGGAGTGTTTGCTGCAGTCAGGGTAAGTGTTCCTAAGGGGGTGGAGGGTCAGTGTAGGACTGGGCAATGACAGTCAGTACTGGAGTCCTGGCTAATAGGGGTCCAGGAGTCAAGTGCTCTGTGGGGTGAGATCAAAGCTGACTGTCAGCTGAGTATGGTGATTCATGCCAGCTCTCGGGAGGCTGAGACAGAAGGAATAGGAGTTCAAGGTCAGCCAGGGTTACCTAGTACATTAGAGGCCACCCTAGGCCATGTGACATCTTGCCTCAAAAATAAACAAGCAAGGGCTGGAGAGTTGGCTGGGTAGCTAAGAGCACTTGCTGGTTGTGAAGACCAGAGTTTGGTCCTAACACTCACCCTAGGTGGATCATAAATACCTGTAACTACAGCTCCAAGAGATACACTGCCCTCGTCTGTTCTCCACAGGCACATACACATACACTCACATAGACACACACACACAGGCAAATAAAAAAAAATCTTGAAAACATGGGGCTGGAGAGATGTCTCAATGTTTAAGAGCATTTTCTACTTTTGCAGAGGACCCAGTTTCAATTCCCAGCACCCATATGGAAGCTCACAACTCTCTGTAACTCCAGTTCCAGGGCTTTGTCACCCTCTTCTGACCTCCACAGGCATTGCACTCATATGGTGCACTTACATGCAGGCAAAACACTCATACACATAGAATAAATATAATAAATAGTTTTTAAAATTAAGCTGACTGTGGTGATGCACACCTTAATCCCAGCACTTGGGAGACAGAGACAGGTAAATCTTTGTGAGATTAAGGCCAGCCTGGTCTACATAGCAAGTTCCAGGCCAGCTGAGGCTATAGGGAGACCCTGTCTCAAAATAAAACAAAAAATAAAATAAAATAATTTTTAACAAATCAGCAGGGGCTGGGGAAGATGGTTTAGTTGGTAAAGTGCCTGTGGTACAAGCATGATAATCTGAGTTCAAGTTCAGATCCCCAGCACAAAGTGGCTAACAACCATCTATAACTCCAGTTCCAGGGGATCCAGTGCCCTCTTCTGGCCTCTATGAGCACTGCATGCATGTGGTATACTCACATACATGGAGGTAAAACACTCATATACTTTAAAAAGAGAAGAAATAAGGGGCTGGAGAGATGACTCTAGTTAAGACATTGGCTGCTCTTGCAGAGGACCCTGGTTCAGTTCCCAGCACCCACTAGGTGGCTAACTGTTCACACCATCCATAACTCCAGTTCCAGTTGGTCTGATGCCCTCTTCTGGCCTCCTTGGGCCCTGCATGCACATGGTGCACTTACTACATATTACACACAAAATAAAAATAGTGCAAAAATAATAAGAATGACAAGTTGGAAATTGATAGAGAAATGTCAACCTCTGCCTCCACATCAAGAGCACACATGTTCATGCACACACATGCTACACAAACACACACACACACACACACACACACACACAAAACTTGTCCTCCATTCAGAGTGATTGAGCTCACAGTTAAAGGAACTGGTTCTCTTTAGATTAACCCATCCCCACATCCAAAGTGTGGATACAAGGCAATAACCTCCCTGACGGGAATTCCCACCCTGCCCAGTACCAGTTTGGGAGGACTGGAATAGGCAAGGATAAGAACTCCCAGGTTGGGGTGTCCTGCCTTGCTTAGCCACCCCCATCCTCCGTTCCCACAGCTGGGTTGTAGGAAACTGGTCACGCTGCAGCCGTACCTGTGATGCTGGTGTGCGCAGCCGCTCGGTGGTGTGCCAACGCCGCGTGTCAGCTGCAGAAGAGAGAGCCCTGGACGACAGCGCCTGTCCACAGCCACGCCCACCCGTGCTCGAGGCCTGCCAAGGCCCAGCGTGCCCTCCTGAGTGGGCAGCCCTGGACTGGTCTGAGGTCAGCGTCTTCCACACTTTTTTCCTGTCCACACCCACACAATCCACTGTTAGTGCAGAAAACCACAGGAACTGAGATGTCCATGTCGCCACATTGCCACCAAGGCGATCTTGCCCCAAGTCCTAGTGTTACCACCAGGCTGCAGTGCGTGGTGAGACTGGTGGGTGTTGCATTGGCACAGATCAGTGCTGGGAGATAGCATGGGGGTGGTGGAGGAATGGGGTGTGTTGCGAGTAGCACCGGCTGCCTGTCCACTCTTCATGTCATACTGGGCTGGAAGCTTTTCCATTCACCGAGTATAAAACACTCCCTCAAATTGCAGTGCACCCCCAGCTGTGGACCCGGCCTCCGTCACCGAGTTGTCCTTTGCAAGAGCGCAGACCACCGGGCCACTCTGCCCCCAGCACACTGCCCTCCCTCAGCCAAACCGCCAGCCACCATACGCTGCAACCTGCGCCGCTGCCCTCCTGCCCGCTGGGTGGCCAGCGAGTGGGGCGAGGTAGGTAGGCGCCAATCGGAAGGATAAAGGCCAGGGCCTGGGGCGTAGGGAGGCAATTCAGCAGCCCCTCTCTTCAGTGTTCTGCGCAGTGTGGACTTGGCCAGCAGCAGCGAGCCGTGCACTGCACCAGCCACACTGGCCAGCCATCTCGGGAGTGCACTGAGGCCCTGCGACCGCCCACCACACAGCAGTGCGAAGCCAAGTGTGACAGCGTACCCCCGGGGGATGGCCCCGAAGGTATGTGGACCGTGGGAGAGGGCATCAGAGAATGCTCTGGCTTGAGGGAACCACAAGTGAGCAGGTGGGGTGTCCTGATTATTGGTCCTAGGGTTTCTAGTACATTTTATTTGTATTTATTTTGTGGGGTGGGAGTACCATGGCCCTGCTGTGGCCGTCAGAGGACAACTTCTCAGGATCCTCTTATTCCACCATGTGGGTCCCAGAGATCCACCTCATGTCATCAGGCTTGACAGCAAGCGCTTTACCTGCTGAGCCAGCTCCAGCCTTCCACTGAAGTGCTTTCTTTGTCTCTGCCACGCCATGTATCACCTTCCTCTCCTGGCAGATTTCTATTCCGTTCCAAAGTGTGCAGAATCTTTCAAGCATCTGACTTTTCTGAGCATTCAAAACTCTAGTCCTTTCTCCCAGCCTCTCCATGACCTTCACCCCTCTCTACTTGGAGGGTTAATTATGCCCCGGTTTTATTTTAAATCAGAATTTCCCAACCTCAGGCACTATTTTTTGTTAATTGTTTTGGTTGAGATGAAGCTTTCAGGCTGACCTCTAACTCAGCATATAACCAGCAATGACCTTGAACTCCTGACCCTCCAGCCTTCACCTCCCAGGAGCTGGGATTACAGGCAATGTATCATCATGCCCAATTGATCATTTCTTTTTATTAAATCAGGCTTTGCTATGATGTTGCCCAGGCTGACCTCAAACTCCTGACCTCAAGCAAACCTCCATAGTACCTGGTACAATAGGCATGGGTCAATGTCTCATCTGTAAGTCTATTTTTATAGAGAGCAGCATTCCCAACTCTGGAACCAAGTGACCACCACTGTGCCTCAGTTTCTTCATCTGTCAAGAGTGCAAATAATAGTTCCATTTGGAAGGAAGTGCCGCTTTAGGGATCTGGAGTCAAATAATAATCCACGTGGAGTTCATGAGCAACCACGCATCACCGGCTGCTAAGTAGAAGCCTGTATCTTTTATCCCTAACAGAAGCTGTTGAATATCAAGGGCACAAATAAGCTTTTTTTTAAAAAAAAAAAAAAAAGACAGGGTCTCATGTAGCCAGGCTGACTTCAAACTTTGTATAGTAGAGGCTGACTGAATTTCTGGTCCTTCCACCTCCACCTCCCAAGTGCTGGGATGACAGGTATGCACCGTCATGCCCAGTTTGATGGGGTGCTAGGGATGGAGCCCAGGGCCTTGTGCATGCTAAGCAAGCACTCTACCAACTAAGCTATTTTTCCAGCCTTTAAATACGCAAATTCTACAAGCTGGGTTTAAGGTCCTAGTGAAAGGAGCCCCGTGTGGCAGTGCACATCTTTAAGCCCAACACTTGAGGCAGAAACAAGATAATCATGAGTTCAAGACCAGCCTGGGCTACATAGTAAGACTCTGTCTTAAACTGATTAATTTGATTGAATAAAAAAGGGTAAAAAATGAATATAGCAGCTCCAAACAAATATTCTCTCTCCCAGCGTCAAGTGGCTCATTGAGCCAAGCTGGGTGGTACAGGCCTGTCATTCATGTCCTCTGTTGGAGAGGCTGAGGCAGAAGGATTGGTTTTGGAGCTTGGGGTTTTTTTTTGTTTGTTTGTTTGTTTGTGTTTTTTTGGTCTTTTTGAGACAGGGTCTCCTGACCTGGAACTCACTATATAGACCAGGGTGTCCGCAAACTCACAGAGATCCGCCTGCCTCTGCCTCCCAAGTGCTGGGACTAAAGGCGTGCGCCACCACACCTGGCTGAGGCAGAAGGATTGTTAAGTGCAAGACCAGCCTGGACAACTTAACCAAACACTGTCACCCCATAAAAGTCAAATGAGGACTAAACAATGTAGTTTAGGGGCTGGAGAGATGGCTCAACAGTTAGAGCACTGGCAGCTCTTGCAGAAGATCCAGGTTCAAATCCCAGCACCCACATGGCATCTAACAACCATCTGTAACTCTAGTTCCAGGGGATCTGATGCCCTCTTCTGTCCTCTGTGGGCACTGCACGACATGGGTACACTTACATGCATGCAGGCATAACACTCATACATGTAAAATAAAAATAAATTTTCTAAAATTAAAAAAAGCAAAAATTAAATTTAAAAAAAAAAAAAGAATGTAGCTCAGTGACAAGAGTGCTTGCCTAGCATGCTCAAGGCCCGGGTTCAGTCTCCAGCAGAGGGAAAAAAATGATCCTAGAAAAAGAAATAGCTTTTCTCTTTAATGATGGGCCAAAGGCAGCCCAGATGCCGCACTCAAAATCCTCAAAACAAAAACAAAAAGGGACTGGTGAGGTGGCTCAGCTGAAAAGGTGCTTGTAGCTCAATCTTGTTGAACTGAGCTCAATCCTCAGAACCCACATAAAGAGGAAAGGAGAGAACCAACTCCACAGAGTTGTCCTCTGACCTCCACATGTGCACTGTGATGTATACACCTGTACACATACATCATACACAAAATAATAATAAATATATAAATCTGGGGCTGGAGAGATGGCTCAGCGTTTAAGAACACTGGTTGTTCTTGCAGAAGACCCGGGTTTGAATCCCAGCACCAATATGGCAGCTAACAACTGCCTGTAACTCCAGTCCCAGGGGATCCGACAGCCTCTTCTGTCTTCCATGGGC